CCTTCTTGTCCCCTCTCTCTAAAGATAAATAAATAATTTAAGTGAGGCTAATGTTCCAGTACTTTCCTTGCGGAGTTGCTCTGAAGATTGAATGAGAGGTATCTGCGAAGCACCCTGTACCGGACGATGTTTGGGTGTGGAACCCAGGAGCCAGTACTGCGGGGCAGTGGGCGGGATGTGAGAGTTCAAGGTGCTCGTTAAAGGTGTGCACTACCTTGTAGATAACGGTCTAGTGGGCAGTTCATCTAAAGAGCCAAAATTGAAAAAGAGTCTTTTAAAAAATAATAGTAGAGTCCCTTTCTGAAACCATATGGGGAAAGCTTTTATTCCTAACAAGAAAAGGTGGGCATGCCACTGCTTCCCTAGCCCCCCGGTCAGTCTCAGCCCCGCCAGCCTCAGTGCCGGCACAGGCGGGCTCTGGAAGGAGTTTGTGTGGGGCTGTGGAGGAAGTCTGGCCGAGAACAGAGCCCTGACTCCAGGGCTCGTCTCCCCAGAAGTCAGCTACTTGGCGCTAGTTTAGTGAGGGTCCCTGCAAGGCCCTGCAGCTTAGTCAGAGGGCCCTGCACCTTCAGCAACCAGGGCAATCTTGTGGAAACATAAGGACGACTTCACCCGCTCAGCCTGCTTCCCAAATCTGTCCCTGTAGCCTCAGAATCTGCACTGACCACTCTCCATCCTAAACTCCCCCCACCCCACTCCTCTGCCCCTCCACCCCTCGGACTCTATCCCCACCAACTTCCTCTGCGCCCCTGGAATGAGACAGGCCTGGCACACACCCTCTCTTTCCTCTGCCCAAACCCCTGCTGACCCCGCTCACCCTTCAGGGCTTCACTTCCATGTCACATTCTCAGAAAGGCTTTTCTGATCCCGGACTAATAACAGCTCCACTGTTTCACACTTCCAGCACCCAATGCTTTCCCTCCGCAATGTTCCCCAACGGTCGTAGTTATATACATTGTTTGTATAGTACCCATTTTCTTCACTAGACTGTAAGCTCCAGCAAGGTAGAAACTGAGTCTGATTTGCTTATTGCCATACCCCCAGCATCTCACTCAGCACTCGACAAATGATAGAAGTTCCACGCACGGGTCCTGGGGATGAATAAAGATGCCAGTCTAAAATTAAGCTATGTTCTCACCAGAGCTCTCACCCTCACTCGATCTGTCTGTCCTCCTGCAGCATTTGATCTGAGCTCATGTTTCCACCAGCCCAGCTGGTGTCCCAAGTTAGAAACTCAGAAGTTCCTAGAGACTTCTCCCTCGTTGCTTTCAGGACTCCTCCAGTCGTGCTTAACTGTCTCCCTGCCCGGACGGCAGCCCCTTCGGTCCCGGAGCACTTGCACGCCAGGCGGGCAGCCTGCTGCCCTGCCGTGCCTTGCCCCGTCCGGGGCAGCGGGTGCGGGGCTCTGTGGTTGCGGTTGCTCGTAGTGTCGGTGTTGGAAAAGATGCACAGCAGGAGCCTCCCAGAGTGTGTGTGTGTTTGTAAGTTGTGTGTATGTGCTGCTGTTGTAACATACACTGCAAAACATAACAAAAATGCAAAAAAAACCCTTAAAGGTGATATTAAGTCATACTTTTAAATAATTTTATTTAATGACGGAAACCTTTTTTGCTCATTAAAATATTGAATATCTTTCTTTACTCATGTTTGACAGCCTGGTTCTACATTTTAGATACTCGGCCATTAATGGCTGTCGTAGCTGGGAAGGGTGTCTCACAAAGAACTGTCAACCCAGATGGGAAGAGGGCCTGACTGGTTGCCTGAGTGTTCTCACCACTCGGGGTACTTGTTTTAGTCGGTCCCGTGACTCCTCAAAGGTTCTCTGACTCACCCCTCCCCCCTTCTTTGCCGGCCCTACCGGATGTGTGCGGATTGTGTTTGGGATGTCGATGAAAGCAGCTGTTTCCTCCTGATCCAGAAGTGCACACAGGTGTTGGGGAGCACAGTCTCGAGTGAGATTTGAAAGCCAGGATGTGCTGGCCTTTGTGTCCTGAAGGTGTTTGCTGAAGTGTGCTCTGCCGTCTAGAATGGTCCTTGGGACTTTCCCCTTAACCTCGCTTTGAAGAATGGGGTTTCTTCCTGTTAGAAACCTGCCTGACACTGTTTAAGCGTTTGTTGAGTCTAGGGACAGAGCCTAGCTGTGCTTGAGAGGAGAGGATTACAATTTAGTAAAGTATGTACTGGGTTCAGAAGAGAGGGTACATTTTTTTAAGAAAAAGCTCCAGATGTTAAATTTACCCAGCCTGCTGTTTGCTTGCCTTGTTTTAATTGTGGATTTCGGTGTCTAGCTGGCTAGACTTTTTAGAAGACATTTTGGTTTTATTCTCTGGGACCCCTGGGCCCTTCCTTCAGTGAGAAGTACCATGGCTGCAAATGTACCCTTGGACCTACAGGAGAACCGCTGTGATTTTGGAAGTGAGTGGTAGCTTCCCAGTGACCCCCCACAACTGACTCAGCCTGGCCTGGCCATCTTGCTGTCGTGGACCTGTGCCGCTGGGACAGGGTTCTTCCTTGGGAAAGGAAGATGGGAAAGGAAGAGAGGGAAAATGGGTTCTTCCCTTACGAAGAAGGGCCCGTGCAGTAGCAGCTGGGTCTCCAGGAATGCTATGAAGCATTATCTACATGCTGTGCATTTTTCCCAAGCTGCTGTTCCCGGCGGGTGGCTAGGTTAGTGTTGTTTGGAAGATAGCTACCAGCTCATCTGTATTCTCCAGCTGTTGTTTATCCTTTCAGTTTTGTGGAATAGTCAAGGAACGGTCTTTCAGAAATGGGGTTTATACTACTTTAAATTTTGGTGCATAATAATTAACTCACTGCTGATTTAGGCTGTGTTTGCTGACAGGGATGTAATTAGCGGACTAGAGAACATTGTTTGCCTTGGAAACAAAAGCATTTAATACAGAATCTTCAATCAGCTCATTTCTGCCCCCGCGCCACCTCGTTCTGTTGTTTGAAGCCTTTTTACAACACCCACCAAAGGGTTGTTCGAGTCCTTAGCTCCCCAAGCGGTCCATTTCATTTTTCTCTTGCTTTAAATTCTATCTTTTAATTACATAGTACATTTGTGTGGTAAAAGATTCAAAAGGCCTACAGTAAGAAGTCTCGCCCCTGCCTCCCAGCTACTCAGGACAGTCAGTACTAACAATTGCTGGGGTGTCCTTCCAGGTTGGTTTTGTATATCACTCTCTTCCCCCCCACCGCCATAGAATGGTAGCATCTATGCTGTACATACCATTCTGTGCCCTGTTAGAGTTATCCTACCAGTGTATGTTAGAAAATGTTCAGTTATGTGGAGGGCACGGCAATAGATGTTAGAATTGATGTGAAAATACAATCTAGTAAGTCTTGTGGCCATCTCTGGCCCAGCCACGCCTATCTGACATCTCTGCTGAGTGTCCCACCGGTCCTCCCCGCCATCACCACCCATATCAAATTCCGGATTTTAAGCCAGCCCCCCCTCTACCCAAGCCAGGCTTTTCCCACTGTCCCCAAGCTCCATCTGTGTTGCTGTTACCTTGTGCTGCACAAACCAGAAACCGGGGTGATACCCTTGACACCTCCCTCCCCCGCTCCCAGAGCTGGCTGTCGCCATGTTGCCCGCCAGCCAGTTCGGCTTCGTCCATCTCTCTCAAATCAGTCGGCTCTCTGTCACGCCCTCCCTGTAGCCCCAGGTCTGGGCCTCCTTGATCTCCCTCCTGGACGACTTTTCTTAGTTTCCTAACTACCTCCTACTCTTTCCTCCTGCCAGTCTGTTCTCCGTGAAAAATGATCTCATAAAATCACAAAGCCGATCATGTTATTCCCATGCTCAACACCTTTGGACGCCTTCCTGGTGCTCTTAGGGTAAAAGTCAAACTGATAATCACACCCACAAGGCCCCCGTGGGCCTCACGGGGCCTGTGTTCACTGTCTGTAGTCCAGCCTCAGGAGCCAGACCTGCCAGCCTCGCCTGTGCGCCTCAGCCTGGAACGTTCTTGTCCCCGGCCCTCTTTGCCTCCTCAGAGTCTAGGCTCCACTTCCTTAAGCCGTCACTGTCCCCCATGCTGATCATGTCCCCAGTTAAAGCTGACAGTGTCTTTACCACAGTTATTAGGGTTGTAATTTCCACTTATGGAAACTAGATTGGAGTGATGTGTGGGTTTTTTTTTTTATTCCTATTAGTAGTGTGAGATAGTTTATAAACTACAAGGAACCCTAGAATAAAAAGTAGTAATTTTTAAAATTCCTGTTTATAAACAAAGTTAAGCCATGGAAAAGGGTTCATGTTTATGAGGTAGGGGTGCCCGAGGGAATGAATGCCTGCTGAAGGGCCGTCGGTCGCCCCGATCTAGGCCGTTCGCCTGAGTTGCAGGCCAGGTCTCCAGTGGGGACGCATGAGAAGCAACTGTACATTGATGTTTCTCTCCCTCTCTTTCTCCCTCCCTTCACCTCTGTCTAAAAAGAAAGAAAATCTTTTTTAAAAATCCCAAATTCCATAAATCTGTCTGTTGGTTGGGGGGGTGGGTCCTGGTTTTTTAGAAAGTCTTATACAAATTGGGTGATGGAAACTATGAGTCCTTTCTCCATTTTTTTTCTTTATCCTCACCTGAGGACATTTTTTTTTTCATTGCTTTTAGAGAGAAAGTAAGGGGAACAGGGTGAGTGTTGATATGAGAGAGAAATATCAGTTGGCAGTCTCCCATACATGCCCTGACCAGGGATCGAACCTGCAGCCCTTCAGTGTACGGGATGACGCTCCAACTGAGCCACCCCAGCCAGGGCAAACCATGCATCCTTTCACTCTACAGAGAGAAAATTTTCTCGAGCTTTCTTCCAGTGACCCATCCATCCCTTCCTGTTTTGTTGGGATGTCGGTAGCAGTGCGCCCGCTGAGAGGGAGGGAGAGCCTCCGAAAGAGCTCAGGCAGCCTGGGGCTTATTTCCCATTTGCTGCCATTGGGCAGAAACACGCATGGGGTGTGCTCACCAGGAGCTGTCTGTGTGTCTCTGCTTTGTCCCCAGGAGACCTGTAGGAAGTGTCAGGGACTCTGGAAAGAGCACAACGGCCTCACCTGCGAAGAGCTGGCTGAAAAAGATGACATCAAGTACCGAACATCCATGTGAGTAACGCGACCTGGGGGGCTGCCCACTGACTCACAGCAGAGCCACACGCGTGCCAGCCCGCCCCGCTGGCCGAGAGAGAGGCGGCGAGCTGTGTGCAGAGAGCAGGTTCTCGAGCTCCCCAGTCTAGAGTGACCTCAGAGGAGCACACAATAGTTTGGGTAGGCGGCGCTCATGCTGCCTTCTGTGCACTGGCTGTGGGGTACTGGCGGCGGTGGGCAGAATCACAGGCTCCAGCGTGCAGGTTAACGCGGTTGGTAATCGGAGCCATTACTGCGTCACACTCCCTGTATTGCCGAGCACTTTGCAAGTATTAGTTTATTAAATGCATTGAGTTGAACGATACAGAGTCTGTTTCTCATGTAAGTGTCCAGCCTTGCTAGATGGTTGGCGCAGATCTGTCCCATGAGGTCATTCGGAGACACGGGTTCCTTTATCTCAGTGCTTCACCGTGACCTCAGCTGGTGTTCTCGTCTCTCTGATTGGGACTGGGTGCAGCCACGTTTACCCTCCAGCCCAGGGGTACGGAGAGAGAGAGAGACGAGGTGCCAGACAGACAGTTTTCTTTCACTTTGTAAGTGATGCAGAAAATGTATGTATCACTTCTGCTTATGCCCTGTTGGTCTAGACTGAGTTACGTGGCCACAGCCTGCTCCAAAACAGACATCATGTAGTCTTGAGCTGGGTGGTTTTACATCCAGCTTAAATTTGGAGGTTAAGGAGCAGGTTTTGTTACTAGAAAAAAATGAAGAGGGAAATGCCTTTTGGGGGTAGTTAACAGTCTCCAGATAAGCACCACAGGTAGGCACTGCTATCTTCACTTTACAGATGACACAGCTGAGACACACAGAGCCCAGGTAACTCACCCACGCTCACACAGTGAGTGAGTGGCCTATCGCATGGCTTCCTGCCTTCTCTGCACCACAGGCTTGGTAGGCAGAGTAACGACCCTCCAAGATGTCCATGCCCTAGTCTCCAGAGCCTGGGGACTGTGAATATGTTACCTTACGTGGCAAAAGGGACTCCCCAGGTGTGATTGAGGTGGTGGGTTTTGACATGGGGAGATTATTCTGGATCATCAGACCAACACAGTCTAGTCACACAGCTCCGTAAAAGCAGAGAGAGAGCCTTTCTCCAGTCGGATGCAGAGGCCGTGACAGGCCGTGTCAGAAAGGCATGAGGGAGACTCCCGCCCATTGCTGGCTTCAGAGACAGAGGAAGAAGGCCATGAGCCGAGGGATGCAGCATCCTCTGGAAGCAGGGAAGCGCCTTCAGTTTTTTGAAAACTGGACGTTGGCCCTACAGCTTGAAAGAACTGAATTTTGCTGACAAATGAGCAGCAAACAGGTCCTCTCCCAGAGCCTCCAGGAGGGCATGTGGCCTGCCAACACCTTGATTTTGGACTGGTGAGACCCGCGCTGGACTTCTGGCCTACAGACTATGAAATAGTAAACTGTGTTACATTAAGCTAATAAATTGGCTTTGGGTGACTTGTTACAGAAGCAATAGGAAACTAACACAGATTTTGGTACCAGAAGTGGAGCACTGCTGTAACAAATACCTAAAAATGTGGAAGTGGGTTTGGAATTGGACAAGGGGCAGAACCTAGAAGAATTTCAAGAAGCATGATGGGAAAAAACCTAGATTGCCTTGAACAGACCGTTAGTAGAAATACAGGTGTTAGAAGCTCCAAGATTGAGGTCCCAGAAGTGAGGAACTTTCCAGGCAAAACCTGAATTTCCTTAGAGACTACTTAAATCACCGTCAACAGACTGTTGTTAGAAATGTGGACATTAAATGTACTACTGGTGAGGGCTCAGAAGGAAATAGGAACATGTTACTGAAAACTGGAGGAGAGAGAACCCTTGTTACATGATGGCAGAAAGCTTATCTAAATTGTGTCCTGCGAGCTATTGAAGAGTGGACCGTACCAGTGGAAAGAGGTGGGTTCAGGAAAGAGCTGTTGACAGAAAGGAATGGGATGTGATTGTTTCTGAAACTGCCGTCCTTCCAGTTGGTAAAAGACCCTAAAATTGATGGATTCACTGTCCTGAGAAGCATGGTCTAGAGCAAAAAGCAAAGAATGTGTTCAGAACGTTGGGAGCATTCTGTCACATAAAAGGCTCTTCGAAGAGATGAAGGGAGTGACTTACAAGCACCGGTTCTCAAGGTCTCACCTGGGAGCCTCCAGGAAACTCGGGCGCAATTACTCAGCCATCTCAGCGGAAGCAGAAATAGAAGTGTGGTTATCTAGGAAGTATCGTGAATGAGCTTCATGTCTCGTGAACCCCTGTGACATAACTGGAAGTCTTCACAGGGCTCACGAGAATTGACATCAGCAAAAACGCTGGCAGCTTGGACTGCAGGAGCCAGGGAGTATGAGATGAGAGAAGACTGTCAGACCCACAAACTCCTGCAAGCAGGAAATGGGCTGTTGAAAAATGGCTCAGCTGCAAGCTTACACGACCTTCCTTGAAAGAAGGAAGATTACTCAGAAAGTAGAGCCGTGAGCCAAGAGGGCAGAGCCTCAGAACCACAGAGGGTTATTCTTGGGTCTGAAATATAAGGGGGTTTTCCTGGCTGGATCTCCAAATTGATTGGGAGTGGTGACTCCTTTTTTCCTTCCATCTTATCCTGTTTGGAACCAGACCATCACCCTATGCTTGTCCCCTCACTGTATTTTAGGAGCAGGTGACGTGTTTTAGTTTCTCAGGCCCACAAATGGAGAAGTGTGTCCGAGAGGGTCATGTCCGGAGTTCTACTCATACCCTGTTTAGATGGTGAGATTTGGCACTTGAACCTGGTGCTGTAACGGATGTCTTTGGGACAAGGCGACTGTGGTGTATGTGTGAGGGGGTGTGTGTGAATCTTTGGAGGCCAGAGGACAGACTGGTGGGCAGAAGAGAGACCTCCAAAGGTGTCCCTGTCCTGGCCCCACTGCTTGTGACTTTTTTACCTTTCGTGGCAAAGGGACTTTGTGGATGAAATTAGGGTTATGGCAACAACAGAAAACCAACACAGCAAGGTACGTAGTGTCACATGCCACTCCAACTAGAAACGTCTGGTGCTGCTTCCTCCAACCTAGGCTTCCCCGTCCATCAGCCTTCGAAAGGCAGAGCGGCCGCCAGCCTGACCGGCGGCGTGGCCTCAACACGACCAGCGTGTCAGAGGGGGTTCTTTCTCCAAGGTGGCCACCGGGTCAGGCAGCTCGCTGGCCTCGGCAGTTGTGCTGTTGCCAAAAAGCTGTTCTCATTGCTACAGACCTGTCATCTCTGGGTGGAGTTGGGAGGAGGGGAGGATTTCTCTCGTTGATGTTCTGGGGCCTTTGTTTTGCCCCTAAGAAGGATGTCTTATTCCTGCAGTCAGGACACGGTTACTAAGTGCTCGCTATAGATAGCGGTAATTAAGAACCTGGAGCAAATTTGCTAATTTTTCTGTGCCTCAGTTTTCTCATCCGTAAAGTACAGAGCATAGTCATCCTAACCTGTAGGGATGACTGTCGTGAAGGTTACAGGGCCCGGAATGGTTTTTGGCACATGGAATGGATCCCCACGACATAAATGGAAGGCCCACAAGGCTTCCATCAGTAGAAGGCCCTGATTTACCAATGTGATGCCAGCATGCGAGCAAATAAGTTCTTGCACTCGGGCCTGCCTGGGCCTGGTCACGTGTATTCCCCATGGGGCTGGTGATAGACTGATGCCCAACTCTATGCTGATTCTCGATGCCCCGGGGGTCAGGCACCTGGGCTGGCTCAGGGCCCAGTCACAGGCCAGGAGGAGGAGAGCCAATTGCCTTTTGAAGCAGAGCTCCCATTTTGGTTCCCTGTTGGTTCCTACTACTGGCTGCATTCAGTATCTTGGTCTGCTGTAGCCCTTGAAGCACCCCTGGGTCCAATAGCCATCAGAAGGTCGCTTTTGGCCTGGGCCCTACTTGAACCTGGCATCCTTTTGTATCAGCAGTAAATGGATCAGAACAGCACATCCAAATACAGTATGCGTTGATTCCAAAATCCAGAAAGGCCTCCCAAGGCAGTGCTGACTGCTTTCTTCATGGTAAGGGGTACAGGATACAGCAATGTGTGCTTAGCTTTGGAAGCAGTAGCCTGATAATGCACACCTGACCTCCAGCTCACCAGAACATCATGGAGATTACAGATCTCTGTTTTCAGGAGACTGCCTGCCCACCTCCTGCCATGCACACACTGTGTTAGTGTGTCCTGGAGTGCCTGCTCCTACCTGTTCACCAGCTTCTATCTGCGTGTCCTCTGAGTGGTGAGCAGTGTGTTGTCCCTGTTGGACAACAGATGCTCCAGGTCCTTGCCAACTGCTTCTGGTGTTCTCTGCTTATTGGACAGAGAATAAAAGCATTTTCCAGCTCGGTAGCCGCAGCCCACTTGCCAGAGGCTCTGTTTACTTGCTGTGGTGAGAAATGACATCTGGAACAGCAGCTGCAATTACAGTCAGCACCTAATGAGGCTTCCAGTGATGCACCAGGTCCAGGACCCATTCTCTGTGCAGGCCAGAGAAGTAAAAGGAGATGTGATGGCTATCAACAGCCCTGCATCTTTGAAGTCTTGGTGGTGGCATCAGTCTCAGAGGTGCCACCTCTGAGGTGCCTGGTATTACTTTTTGTAGGGCGGGGGCGCTCTTTGGGCTTCCACGTCCTCTCCCTGCCACACAGCGTTTACTCTACGGGTCAGAGAGCCAAGGCATCCTGCCAGTTGCCAAGTGTTAAGAGTAAGAGACAGCAGGATGCACATAGGAAGTTATAAGCAGTTCCTCATTGCTGAATCGTAAAACACAGCATAATAAGTGGTGTGAGATGAGTCAGGTGTTCCAACAAAAACTTGTCCAAGATGCTCCTAGCAGTACTACTTCTGATAGTCAAGTGGTCAAAAGGTAGAGACAGCCCCAGTGTCTGTCATCTGGAGGATTGTTAACAGAGTGCCGTGTGTCCGTGAGTGACACGTTGTTTGGCTGTAAAAAGGGAATGATACCCTGCGATGGAATTGGAAACACACCAAGTGAAAGAACCGGTCACAAAAGGCTACATTGTAAACTTCCGTTTATATGAAATGTCCACAGGCGTATAGATATTTGCCTGTGTACAGAATAGACAGACCCATTAGCAACAAAGTAGATTAGCTATTGCAGGAAAGGGGGGACTGGGGAGTTACGCTCAATCGTTAGAGTTTCCTCTTCAGATGATGGAAATGTTCTGGAACATAGTGGTGATAGTTGCACAGCTTTGCCAGTATACCAAAGGCTCCTGAATTGTGTACTTTAAAATAGTTAAAACAGTAAATGTTATGTGCGTTTTACCACAATAAAAAAATAGATGTGGCCCTGGCTGGTGTAGCTCAGTGGATTGAGCATGGGCCTGCAAACTAAAGGGTCGCAGTTCGATTCCCAGACACACGAGAGGCAACCATACATTGATATTTCCCTCTCTCTTTCCCCTCCCCTCCAAAGATAAGTGAATAAATTTTTTTATTAAAAAAATATATATGTATGCACAGACTCACAAAGGAAAGCCATTTAAGACTTTGAGCAGTATGTGCCACAACAAATGAAAACAGCGCCCAGCACACTTGAATAGTGGTGTGATGAGTAATCACGGAATTGCAGGCTCTCGCTTGGTTACGTGTCCTGTTTGAACACGAGGTCAGCAGACACAGCTGCCACTCAGTCCTCTCTTCCTGTTTCAAACAGGAGCACATCCTGTGGGGCTCTTTCCTGCCTAATTCAGCATCTAGTTGCCAAATCACCCTGCTCCCTAAAGAAGCAACCGATTTCTCCCCAGTTCAGGTGGCTTTGATGTGTTACTGGGTAGGCGGTCAATACATCCCATAAGAGCAGTCCTTTTTGTGTGCAAGGCCATTCCGGCCTTACCTGGTCCTGTGGTTTTGCAGAAGCAAAGGATTTGAATGGATATTCGTGCAGTATTGAATAGCTTTTTGAACACTATAGCAACACTGAGTTGCATGTGATCTCTGTATAGCCCTCATCTCTTCAGGAGTGCCCTTCCTCCTGTACCACACCCGTTATTATTTTACATTGGCAACTGACTGCGTGCTGGAGCAGAGCCAGCGCACGCACCCTCTCCCCAAACCTTCGGGAAGGACTGTGGAACCTCGGCTCTGTTCAGCCTCTTCTCTCCCACACTACAGCCTCCAGGCTGCCCAGGGAGTAAGTCGGCCAGCCCCAGGCAACCAGAGTGCTCTGGCCAGAAGCCGCAGCGCAGTCTCCGGGGCGCTCTTACGCAGAAAGTCTGGGCTGTGGAAAGTTGCAGTTGTGTCCTGGCCAGGTAGCTCCATTGATTAGAGCATTGCCGAGGTTGTGGGTTCAGTCCCCGGTCAGGGCAAATACAGCAGTCAACCAGTGAATGCATACGTAAGTGGGACAACAAATCAGTGTGCACTTTCTCTCTCTCTCTCTCTCTCTCTTTCTTGTACTTTTTCTCTTCCTGTCTCTTAAATTAAAAAAAAAATTTTTTAAGAAAATTGGAAACTTTTTCATTAGAACCTTGGGAGCCTTAATGGAGCCTTGACAGGTGTCTTCACAGTTGCTGAGTGACTGAAATCCTGAACATGTGTATTCTGTTACTTAATTGACAATAATTAATTCACTTTGTTTAAATTTCATCTGCTTGACAGTGTTTCCTATTCTGCAACACTCAGAACCCATTTGTTCTTCTGTAACTTGCACTGGGTTTGAATTCTTTTTAAGCCAGAGTTCTGCCTGCCTTCATTTTGAGACCTAAATGAATAGCAGCCAATTTCCTAATGCATTTCTCTATTTTTAAAGAATGGTCTGGCTTCTGAGGAGCATACTGCCACAAGAGCCTTCTAAATACAAGTAATCCAAACACCTGCCCGCCCCTGACTTGCACGGCTCCTCTCACTTAGCAGAAAAACTTGCAGCAGTGCGGGGAGCACCGCATTTTCTCAGCCTCAGGAGAGCATCTGCGGGTCCAACCTGATCCCCACGCTGTTCCCATCATGGCCAATCGGAGCTGTGGGACGAGCCCCAACTTCAGGGCTGTCTTCCCTTTTGGTCCTTTGTGCTCGTCGCTAGTCTCAGTAGGCACCCCTTTAAGTGACGCCTTCCTGTCAAGACCACACTTCCTCATGCCAGCTGGGCACCCCACACAGCCTCTGCTCTCTGCCCCCAAGGAGCTCGAGTGTAAGTAGCTGAAGGCACGTTAACAATTGTAGGCCAAGGCACAGTGTTACGAAGACTTGTACCACGGATGTAACCTAGTTTGCCAGTGCCAGCTCTTCACGTGGAGCCGAGACCTGCCATTCCAACCCTAGTCACCTGTCCTTCCATACCAGTTAAAGCGCTTCTGGAAGGCTTCCCACTGAGTCATGTATGTCCCCCTCCTCACCACAAGGAGTCTGGGCATGTGGGGCCGTCCCCAGCCATGTCCCACCCCCATGCCGAGTCTTCAAAACTTCAAGGTGCTGATATAACTAAGACGGAGGCTTCCTGGCTCTCCATTATTCTGATCTGATACCTAAACACGTCATTTTGGAAGGCCCTCAGTTACTTCTCTCCATCTGGAGCCTACGGAGACCCCTCTAACAAAGAGAATAGTTGTTTTCTAAGTGCTCTGTGCCATGTACTATGCCAGGGTACTTTTTATCTTACCCGTAATCCTCAAAAATTGGGGTTTCCCAGTTTAAAAAGGAGGAATCTGAGTCCCCACTCCGTTGAGGAATTTACCCAAAGTTAACAACTGGTAAGTTGAACCCAGTTCTCAGTCTCTGGGACATGGGCGCCCTTCACTCTTCGAACGTCGCTGGGAGGGCGGGACAGTCAAGTGTGGGAATGAGGTAGTACTCGATGGCCAGGCTTCCCTGCTCTCTCCAATCGCATATTCTTCTTCCAGTGAAGAGAAAATGACTGCTGCTCGCATTAGGAAATGCCACAAGTGCGGGACCGGCCTCATCAAATCCGAGGGCTGTAACCGCATGTCCTGCCGCTGCGGGGCCCAGATGTGCTACCTCTGTCGAGTGTCCATCAACGGGTATGACCATTTCTGCCAGCACCCTCGCTCTCCGGGAGCCCCCTGCCAGGAGTGTTCGCGGTGTTCTCTCTGGACCGACCCCACGGTGAGTGAATGCTCGGCTGCCTGTGGCTTCGTGGGGGGAATATCATAAGGTGATGTAATGAAGTGAGGTATTATGCGGACGAAACACATGGTGACCTGTGAAAAGATAGGAAATACACACACCAATAACCACAGGGAAAAATACTCTGAAAGCAGTCAGAAAGCCCCTCCTCAGCAACAGCACCCCTGTGCTGAACAGGTTTATGAACAGTCTTTCGGTCTTCACGGCGGCAGTCCCCAGCCTCTGGGAACCAGGGGCCAGTTCCATGAGAGACAGTCCGTGGAGTCGGGCTGGGGAGGAGCTCAGGCAGCGGTGCTGACAAAGCACTGCTCGCCCGCCGCTCACTCCTGCTCTGTGGCCGGGTCCCCAGCAGGCCTTTGGCCCGTGTGAGGGTTGCATCCCTTGCTTTAGGGAGTAAAACTTGTTTATACCACGTGAAATATTTCTGAACATAGACAAGTAAGGTTTTATATATATCTGCATAAAACCTGCATAGTTCTGATTCCAAAATGTGAGAGAGAACCCCATTTTGAAAACTATAAACTTACCCTACTTATTACTTCAGGTTTTAAATTCTCTGAATAAAATACCAGCAAATAGAAACCGTGGCCAGGTGAGATTATTTCTGGATGCGTGCTTGCATCCAGAAATGCAAGGATGTTTGCTATTAAGACCTCTTAATGTAATTCAGCACATAATAGCTTTAAGTGGTAAAAGGACACAGGACAGCCCTGGCTCATGTACTCAGTGGGCTGGGCATCGTCCTGTTAACCAAAAGGTCACTGGTTTGATTCTTGGTCAGGACATATGCCTGGGTTGTGGGTCAAGTCCCCAGTTGGGGGCATGCAAGAGGCAACTGAGCGATGTTTTTCTCCCTCCTTTCCCCTCTCTCTAAAAATAAATAGAATTTTTTTTAAAGATACTGAATAAAAGTCATATCCATTCTTAATTTGAGCTTTTAAAAATAGTATTATCTGGGATGGGAAAAATAGACAGAAAACTGTACTCGAAAAATAATTAAATAAAATAGTATTATAAGGGTGCTTTACTTAATATTACATTTTTAAAGCCCATAGTTTAAAACTGTTTTTATTAACATGTTTTTTAAGATTTTATTTCTTTTTAGAGAGAAGGGAAGGGAAGGAGAAAGAGATGGAGAGAAACGTCAGTGTGTGAGAGAAAGACATCAGTTGGTTGCCTCTTGCACACGCCCCAGCTGGGGATCAGGCCCACAACCCACGTATGTGCCCCGACCAGAAGTCAGACCAGCAGGCGCTGGTGTGCAGAACAGTGCCCAACTGAGTCACACCAGTCAGGGCATTGCTAAAATGTATATAATAGTGAAACATGGCCCTGGCTGGTGTGGCTGAGCGCCAGCCTACGAACCAAAGGGTTGCTGGTTCGATTCCCAGTCTAGGGCATGTGCCTGGGTTGCCAGGCAGGTCCCCAGGAAGGGACGCACAAGAGGCAACCACACATTGATGTTTCTCTCCCCTCTTTCTCCTTCCCCTCTCTCTAAACATAAGTGTATTTAAAGTCTTTTAGAATAAATAAATAAATAAAGCACCTAAACCCAAGAACTGCTGTTTGTCATGGCAGCAGTTGAAACGTTGAAACAGGTGCTGACAGCAAGTGGCTCTCGTCGCCTTTGGGGGCTGTGGCTGTGCCCCTCAAAGTGAATTGGGAGGTTCTACACTCCTGGAAAAAAGAGAAAAAAATAATAAATAAATAAATAAATAAAATCTTAAATACTGGCTTTTTAAAGTAATAGTGAAATACATAGTAGCATTCCCAAAAAGTCAAGTGTAAGATTATCACCACTGTTGTTCCGGAGCTTCCAGTCGATACAATTAGGTAAGAGAATGGAGTAAAAGGCACAGGCACTGGAAGACGTGACTGCTGTGTCCGTGGGGCACCCGCATGGGTCAGGTGCTGTTCTAAGCACTTTGGCGTGTGGAGAGGAAAAGCAGAGCCACCGTGTTAAACCTGAGAAAAGACAAAATAATCAGAAGGCTATTAGAAATAGATGGCTAAAAACAAAATAAATATACAGAATGCCATTCTCATAGTAATGTGAATGATTCAATACCCTGGAAATGAACTTTAATAAGAAATATGAAGAAAGCTATAAAACTGTATTGCAGGACATGAAGAGACTTAAACATATGGAAAAATGTGCTTTGTTCTTAGGTAGTTTTTTTATTTAAAATGTATCGATTCTTTTTTTTTTAATATTTTATTTATTTATTTATCTTTAGAGAGGAAGGGAAGGAGAGAGGGAGAAAAACATCAATGTATGGTTGCCTCTCGTGAGTCCCCTGCCGGGAACTGGCCTGCAACCCAGGCATGTGCCCTGACTGGGAATCGAAACCGTGATCGTGTAGTTTGCAGCCCCATGCTCAATCCACTGAGCTATCCCAGCCAGGGCTAAAATGTATCAATTCTTAAAAATAGTTTTAAATTTGAAACTTTCACAGCCATTTGTACGTTGATCTGTAAGGATAGCCATGTGGCCTATGAAACAACTTGTTCTACCAAGAGGTGGTTCAGCCTAACAGTGAGCACCCTGCTAACTGGGACCAAATGAAAGGCCTTGAGGAAGTGCAGCGAAGCCCCCAGGGACCCAGCGACGGCCCAGCCTCCACCCGAGATGGGAGAAGTGGCCTGGACAGTGGGGAAGTGTCTCTCCCTCACAGGAGACTTGGTGTCAGAGAGTGGTCACCTCTCTCCAGAGTGATCTAGAAGTTTACTGCAATTCCCTTTTAAATTGAAAGGATTTTTTTTTCTGGAAAAATTACCTGTAGTTTTGAAAATGAAACTGATTTTTACTCTGAAGCTACACCAATCAAAACCATATAGACTAATATAAAAATAGGCAGATAGATCAAAGGAACAAAATAGAGACCAGAAACAGACGCATAAGAACTTAATGTGTGAACAAAATACTGTTGCAATACACTGAAGAAGTGATAGATTTGATCTTTCATTCTTAACTATTTAGTGCTGCCAGGACTAGTCTGACAGAAAACCCCATTCTTGTGAGGTCCACAGTCTGAAGCCTGAATCTACTGTGCAGTGGGTGCCTTGGGGGAATGTCGAGAGTGACGAGACAGGGAGTGGGACAGGGAGGGGACAGGAGCTGCGAGGAGGAGGCCAACCTAGAGATCTGGAGGCAGCGTTTGTTGTGGGGAGGGGTCACAGCGGCAAGGCAGACCGAGGGAGTGAAACAGACTGGCCTGTTTGGGGACCGAAAGGGGGCCCGTGTGGCTTGCAGGTGGTTCACGAGGGGAGGGGAGTAAGAGGCGTACAGATGAGAGTTGTGAATATGTGACGACTGATGTGACTCAGTAAGAAATCAGTAAACAGTCCTGCATTAATCAGGATCATTTTGTCTGGGAATATCAGAAAGCCCCAAAACAGCTTCTGCACAACAGAGGCCTATTTCTTCCGCGTGGGTAAGCACAGCGGCGGACAGTCCAGGGGTGGGCACTCCCACTAGCATAGCATGCAGCTCTAAAAAGCAGTGCTACGAGTCTGTTTACCGACATGGAGGGGGAAACAAGGGGAGATTTACACATAAAATACAAACAGCGTGCAGCCGGGGTCACAGACCTGAGTTACCCCAGGGGAAGTAGGCCAGGTCCGGGAGTCAGTAGGGCGTGGTGGGGACTGCAGCAGCAGAAGAGGCTGCGGGCCCCATCTCAGGCTGCTACTCAGCACCCCCACCCCACGCCACTCCGGTTGTTGCCAGATGAGATTGTGCCCAGTTCCTGTGGCTTCAGATTGTCCAGAGAGGCTGGAAATCTATTTTAATGTGAAATCTACCAATTCTTATTGGTCCTGCATAAAGCTATCGAACTATCTTTAAAACACAGTTTAAGCCAGTACTTTATAAGCCAAAGAAAATTCTTGGTGGCCACCAGTCTTCATCTGGTGCAGGACGTCTCGGGGTGCCTGACCAGAGGGTGTCAGGGTCGCAGGTAGTCCCTGGGAAAGCATAGCAGTCCAGCCTGGTGGCCAAACCCCAACCCTCAGAGCCACCAGTTTGGAAAGCAGCGAATCCTCTGGAACCAGGTGTCTGCCTATCAGGGACAGCCTCCTCACTGGTTAGATTTGGCTGCGGCCCCAGGAACTGCTTTTCTTCCACCGCTCTGTGATTACGTAAGGCCCTTACTAAGCCTCCCCCGCGCTGCTCCCCCCACCTCCACATCGCCAAGGGGGAACGGTGAAAGGGAGGGCCGGCTTAGCAAAGAGGGGTCACCCGTTGTTGGTTGAGGTGGGAGTGCTGGGCAGGGTGATCCACGTGGCCATTTGCGACAGGACTCCCGGGAACGGCTTCTCCCAGCTCGCTTCTCTGACCCACCCACCCAGCAGAGGGGGCTGAGCATCTAGTCTAGGAACTTCCCGAGGCCACACAATTCTGCCCCTTCAGCTGCAGCTTCTGAGAAGTGTTCCTACCACCACCCATTTCGTCCCTGGAAACCAGGAGCAGAGTGGGAGTTCGCACGTGAGGGAGGATGCCTTGCGGTCTGGCCTGTTCTCCGCACTGGTTTTTCTTCTCCCTTCTCCCTGTGCTTGTTCCCTCTCCTGCCACCTCCTTTCCTTCCCACGCGTGGAGTTGATTATAAAGGATTCTCGTGTTCTGTTACCTTGTTTGGGTGCCACAGCATGGGATTGTCCCCTTGTTTTCTGGTGGAATTGTCTTCTACCCTGAGAAAGGCTCTGGCTTTGCTCAGAATAAAGCTGGAAAGGAAGATCAGGCAAGTACAAACCCCTTCGATTTCCTCTGGTGGCCACAGCCAGAGATTTTGTTCCATGTGTCCTGTTCCCATCAAAACTGGGATCAGCCCCGTTTCCTTGAGTCTCACCAGGAGGCTGATTGAATTCCAGCCCAGCATCTGCGGGGCCCCTGAGAACACACAGCCATTCAGAAGTTCAGGGAGACAAAGCACGCCCTGTGGACAGCGCCTGTTTTCCACTCCATGAAGCAGCGGGGCCGGGAGGAGTCTCTCACGGGTTGGGGGGGTGGGGGCGCCCCTCAGTGGTTTGGAGAGAAGTTGAGGTTTCGTCTTTGGTGCCCAGAGACTGCTTGGGGGCCCAAGCTGACTCTGTGAGAGAGCTGAACTGGTGACCAGTAACTTTCTGTCCCTGTTAGTTATCAACACTAAACCAAAACATTCACCCAAGTGTCTTATAAAAACAAGATGTCATTTTCGAAAGAGAAAAACAGAGCAGCAAACATAGTCACAGCAAACCGCGGTTTTCTGGTTTAGAGGTCAGAAGGCAAAGCCAGATCCCGACACACAAACGAACAAACGTTATTTCGCAGTGGGGGTCCAGCTCTCCTGGGACTTGCCAGCATCCCTGGCTCCTCTCTCGTGCACGTGCCCGCAGGAGCGGCGGGGCGCACACTTCTTCCCTGGCTGTCAGGCTCCGTTCAGAGCAGTCACCTGGCAGCCTGGACTCTAAAGGTGGGGCCAGGTTCCTTACATATAAACAGTCACTGTGGATCTTGGGTTTTGGCTACCGGAGACTGCACAGAGCTGTTTCCTACAACTTTGTTTTTTAATACGAGTTCGAAGCATACTCATTTTAAATAAAACCCAGGGTTTTTGCAGCCACTTTACAGTTTGGTCCCATTATGTCCTGGCTCTTGGTAGGGGACCAGGTTATTTTTCCCAGGCCTGCAATGGATCGGGGTGGACAGCCAGCCACCTGTGTTCGTGTACTCCATTTGGTGACCGTGCTCTGGAGTGGGTGTGTCACCCGTGGTAGAGGTGCGGAAGCTTGCTGGGGATGGCGGTTGGCAAGCAGGGGTGTGGGTTTCCAGCTCAGGTCATTTGTCCCCAGCGTCTTGAACAAGCTGCTCTCCCGCCTCCTCCCGTCAGTGGCTCCAGCTCCCCCTAGGTCGGCCCCTGTGCAGGTCTCCCTGACAGTAGGCGAGCTTTGGGGTGTTTCGGGAAGGAGGTGAGGAAAAGGTAGAAACCCACCCCAGAGAGAGAGAGCCCAGATGTGGGGTCGGTAACTAATTTGGAGCTTCAACATCTTTTTCCTCAACTATTTGAATTTACTTTCTACAAAAGGAAAAATATAGTACAGTGAGCCTCCCATGTTACCCCTCCCCCAGCTTCCACAATTGGCCACAACATTTTATTTCTAGTCACTGTTTAAGTACCATTGTTTCCTTTACAACGTGGGGGTGGGACCACTTTCCTGTTGTGCAGCTGGGGAAGATGACATTCAGGTCTCGAGGTAAAACCCGGATGCGAGCCCAGGGCCTGGACCAGCAGTTGGCTCCTTCCACTCCGAAATCCCCACGCCCCAGAGCGAGAGGCTCCAGGCACAGGTGCCCCCGGGGCCCTGAGCCCAGTGAACCGAGCGGCCTCCTCAGGGGTGGGACCCTCCCTGGACTCTTCTTCCCTGTTGAGCAAGTTGCAGATGGAACAAAGGGGTCTGGCAGCTCCAAACTTACATGTCACTGGTGGAGGATTTGACCAAGGAGGACAGCAGCGTGGCTCAGTCTGGTACACGTGGCACATGACTGTGTTGTCTTCAGCAAATGCCAGCAGGCCCCAGACTGAGCACTTTACCCTGAAGAGAGTCAAAACATGGCCACACTCCAGGCTGCCTCCAGGGCCCTGTGGGGGAGTTCTAAGAGCAAAGGTGTGGGGTGCTGGGCCTCTGGGCCCGAGGAGATA